GCCGCTAGTCCTATACTGTCATTGAATTATTCATGAGCCACTCAGACGAAGTTCAAATTTAAACCGCCATGCGTTACAATATTGCTTTTACTCACAAACCCGCGCGTATATAATATGCACAAATACAAAAAAAACTGCTAAAATATGCTAATTTATGATATTAAATATTAAATATCATTGATTAATGTTATATGTAGATACGTTTATACATAGAATTTATTTTATTCTAACGATACATTGATAATAAGAACGGATTTCAAACAAAGCATTTTTTTTCTGTTTTGATATAATAATTTTTCGTTTTCCTTAAAAAAATACACTTATGTGGCAATATAAAACTACAAAATTCATTGACCTCGAAAAAAAATAGTTGTGATAAAGAGAAAAATGAAAGATGGTAGAGATGCCATGACAAATTGTATATTTCTTCATAAAAACATATTGTGTCGATACGCTACTTTCTATATAGAAATCATGCATGGAACTGATTTTAGTCTACCGTTTTTTGAACCAAGTAAGATCTTTCTAAATACATGATAAAACTATATGTATAAAATAAAATAGTTAAAAATAAATTATGTATTGAAAAAGGATTATAAGTAAAAAGTCAATATAGACTATTTTCCTCAATTCAAGTTAAATTATATTTTTAATAACTCTTTAGTACAAACAATTCATGACTCTTTTGTGGAAGATACAAAAAGCTTATAATACAGATAAAACTAAACATTAAACAATTGTTCACTTTAAGATTTATATATATTTTTTACATTTTAAACCTATTATGATAGTATAATAAATTAGTTAATTAATAATGTTAACATTTTAATATTAATGAATAATATTCATTGAATATTGTGCATTTTTATATAGTAAAATTAAAGTATTGTTTTATACGTGTATAAAATGTAAATGTCTAGGTTAATGACTTTTATGACGAAGAAATATAAATAAAATATTGAGTTAGAAATGTTTCTTGATTGTATTTATAATATGTTAATATTTTATATATTATAATATTATGTGTATAAATTAAATGCAACAAACATACATGCAGTATTCAATCAATGCCAACGTGATAAACATAATTAATAATACGATTTAAGATCCACTATTTTAATGAATCAGATAATTAGAACTAATGACCATGAAACCATCATATTATTCTTTTTAATAGAGGCGGTGTATAACAAAGAGAAAAGAAGGAATAGTGAGGCGGAATGTATGTATTGATACTTTTGGACTGGCTGTTCGAATACAAAAATAATAAATACATTAGTACAATATTTTATTTACCGTTCGAATTTTTTATAGTAAACGCAATACATTTTATTATTTATTTATTATTGCTCTAAAACAAAATTAATAAAGCAAGATGGTTTATAATTGTTTTATAAACAACAAGTATAATTTTGTAATATATTGTTTTATATCTTTAATTTGTTTCAAATTTTTAATAGTCTGAATACCCAAATTTTACAAGACATAGAATTATTTCAAGAAAGAAGTTATTACAATCTGGCATTAACATATAAAAGAAAAGATGTTAAGTAACAAAATATTCATCACAGTAAATATTATAAAAATTTCCAAGATATAACATCGGTGTGTTTTTTTCTTTAAAGAGTTTGGTCAAGTTAAATCTTTTGATTTCATTTAGATACTTAGACAGGACATACGTGGGGTGCCCCGACAGTCGTGGATGAGCATGGTGTGAGGCAAACCGGCAGGTTTAATATGCACAAAGAAACCAGTTCTAAAATATTTCATACCTACTGGTCCAGGGATGCTCAGCAGTTGTTACAATATTATTTGAAGTGAACGATTCAACAACTATTATCCGTGCCGAGTCATTCAAATAATTATTATAAAAATACAAATTATTCTACATGTATTAATCAGATGTATATCATTTGCATATTCAAATTGTAATTTTATATAAATTATTATTTAAACGCAACAAATACTTTAAAAAAAATATACTGGTAAAGAAAACTTACATTAAGCATTATAAAGTAATAATAACCAGTTAAATATTTGGAACCATTGCAGCAGCATTAGTCGATCCTGAACAGGCGCATGCTGTGACAGAGTAGTCAGTCTGACCAACAATTCAAACAATGAAGTCTATTTCAATAGGAAACATGATTTCTCCCCTCCAAAAAAAAAACAATAAATTTATACCCATTATAGTATAATATAATATAATACAGAGTTGTTTGAAATTTAAACATGGAATATGCAGAATGCTATTAAAAAACCACAAATTTAACCTTTAAGTTTTACCAAACCAACTTTAGGGCTATGTAGTTAAAATATTTAAACATTGTATCAGATTCTATGAAAACTAATGTATATGACGAGCATATTATATATTTTATTTAAATTAAACCTATGATCTAGAACATGTAGAATGTAGATAATAATAATATATTGGTCTTTTTTCCGTTTTTATACATTAATTGTTTTTTAGTATAGGATGGGTATCTTAACATGTCACCATATAAAAAAATCAAATAATGTACAAAAAAAAAAACTAAAATAAGATTATATTTAGTTTGAAGTTTGTTTATATATTTATAGATCATATTATATAATTGCATTTTAAAATGGGGGTTATAACTTATTTATAGCCAGGATTTCTTGTGAATAAATTGTGTACTTAGTTGATATTTATTATTATTACCTATTACTATTATTTTATTATACAACTCGGAGTTATGTGTAATGCAAATTAAAGAAAACTATTTAAAGAATTTTACAAATTATATTTTTACTAATAAGTAATAACAATCTATAAACTCAAAATAAACTCAACCGTAATAATATAATAAATTATCATGTACATAGAAATATATTGTATTATTTGGTTATATATTATTATTTATTAGAAAAAATTCACTAGGCCCATTATACAATATAGATACAATACATTATTACTACACAAATAGAATATTAGGTTATAGATTTTAATAATACACATATCATTGGGTTTAATTGAAGGTAATTTAAGATTACATTTTTACATAGAATTTCGACTAAAACTAATACACGTATATAATTATTTAATTTTCTGGATAGCGTATAGTTATTTATAATCAATGGTAATAATTATATAGGTATCGCGTATGAGTTATTATTATTCAAATATAAAATAAATAATAATTGTTTAACAAGCACATTTTAATTTAATATAATTTATATGGGTACCTTTTTCAAAACTTTCTGAGGCTAAGAGAGGAATTTATTTATTTAGTTTCCAACTTGATCAGTTATATATACTAGTTATATAGGTAATCGTATTATTATTTATATTATTAGAGTACGTCTCTAGAAACGTTAGCTCATTTAAGATTTCTGAATAGCTACTTAATTTAAAAATAGATCAATCCGATTATATTATTTATATTAAGGAAAGACTTCTACAGAATCAAACAGAGTGGTTAAATTCAGTTTTTTATTATTAAATATTACAAATAAAGATCTAAAACTAATAAAATGTTGAAGATGTTTGGCGGAAAGTTTAAGGCCTTGAATTTATGTTTTATTTTTGAGTCGACCTTGCCCTGCTCTCTATGTTTGATAATAATTTTTAAATAAATAAATACAAAATAATGAGCGCTATTAGAGTAAACTTACAAAGGCCCAAATTACAATAGTCGATCTCCGGTTAGACCGCGGAATTTGGCCGGTAAAATCAATGGGTTAAACGTAATCGACTATTGTAATACAGGGAAATAAAGAGCTTATGAATACCTACCTAATTTTCAAAACAGCAACAATTAATATAAATCAATTTCCAATACTTTGACTGAAAAGTTGAATTTAAACTTTAAAGTATATAATTATTTCCACGGGGTGCCACCATTGGGTGACTTCCCACTCCCGCTAATCAACCCACATCCCATTTACTCATTGTAATACATGTAATTACAGATTGTAAATAAAATTTTTGTTCAATAATAAAAAAAAAGTATATAATATTCATTATTTATATTGCATTAGGCGATTTTTGATAATTTTATTCAGTTTTTCAAAGCAAAACATTGACTTACATTTTATATTTGTTAATTAAAAATGTTTATTGTCAGCAATAATCTTTAGTCAATTTTGAATAATAAGTCATATAATATAGTAAGTTCTAACAAACCATAGATTCTAATTATAACGCGGGATCACTAAATATTTTAATTTTTTATGAACTATAGAAAAAAACATTCAAAGAGCTTTGAATACTGATAAGTGATAAGTATTAAAATATATTAAAACCATATTATTATATTATTAAATATATTATATTTAATTTTAACATTATCGTATTCGTATACCTAGTTTAAAACCAGTCACAGTTTAAGAAATTCAAAACGAGTTTGGTATGCTACTTATTTACTAAACAAATCAGACGGAATAAAAAAAACAAATATCAACTGTCACGGTTCTTTATTATCAATATTTTAATTATAAAAATTAAAGTATGTATAAAGAGAGACGGGACAGTAATTCCAGGCGAGGTGGACGCCCACCAAACCAGGAAAAAAATAGAATAGAATTTACAAATTTCGTTTTTGGTTTGTATTTTACAGTCGAGATAAAAATATGTTTTAATTACAATATTTTGTCAACATGTTTTCAATCAAACGAAAACAAATAACCGTACAATATTGTACAATATTTATTTATTTAATATCAATTTTATATAATAATATATAGTAGAAAATAGAAATAGTTAGGCCCATTTCACAGCCACGCGTATGATACGTACGAAAACGTACCATACGCTTGCGGTTTGTAAAACGGGCCTTAATTATACCTACTTATTATTTATTAACCATATTAATTAAATCGATGAATATATGGATTTACACCTAATACTACCTAGCATATACTATAATAAAATTACTGTAAGGACCATAAGTAAGTAAAGTACATATTTTTGATAGCGGTGAGGTATCAACTTGTTTAGTTTATATCAAAAAATTAAATAAATACAAATTACGTACCAGTTTTTTCCTTGATTTCACATAAAACGCTGAATAAAGAAGGTTTCATTCGATGACAATTTAGTGTATGTTTTCTGTAAAAATAAATATTCGATACTTTAAAATAACTAAATATAAATACCTTAATTTTTACAATAGTTTACATTATTTTCTCGGTTATTTTAAATAAACAAAACTGCAATTAGTATAATTAATGGTGATAATTATGCTTGATACATCATTGTAATGAAATTTATCAGGGCAAATGATAATATAAAAACAATTCATATTACGGACATAATATTTTATTGAAAAACTGTAAAATAACTATTTTAAATATTATTTGTTCTTAAATATTTGGACCATACAGGTATTTAAGGTAACTAATCTAATAATTAAATTATCATATTATCATAGAAGGTTATTTTAATTTAAAACAAATAATTACATTTTTTTACACAATTATATCATTAATTTTTGATAAAATAATAAGTTGTATATTCAATTAAAATATTAGATGAAATCTGCAATAATTAATAACCTAAAATTATGAATACCTCTTATAAAATACTATTAAGATAAAATTATAAGACCATTAAATATTTATCTATAAATCGAATTGAAAGTCATAAAAAAATAATGGACGTAATAAAATAATTAACCTAACGAATTAAATTACCTATATTTATATCTTAAATTGAATTATCACATTAAAGCATATTATAGTTTTTTTATTAGAATTAAAACAAAATTTATTTCTCAACTTTATATAAGTTACATTTAATTACTATGTGTCTTCTAATAACACAATATTGTACATTTGTACGTATGTAGAATGTACCCTTGCATTTTACTATAAAAACACCTATATACAGTATTACAGTATGTCAGTTACTTATAAGTTGGTGGAAAATATTAAAATACCTAATGTGTAGTTAAAATTAAATACTATACCCAGAACTATTATATACATTACGTACCTACCTATTTTATTATTTATACTACAATTTATACCTTTCCTTATATAGGATTTTTATTTTAAATGTTGACTTGTTTGTCGTAGAAAAGATGAAAGAAGTCACTCATCAACAAAATGTTTATCTGTGTACAAAATTCTATCCAACAAATGTTCAATTAAATTTGTATATTTCCATTTACACAAATTACACAAAACAAGTTAGCAAAGCTTCTACATAACATAACAAAATTAGGTATCTAAGATCTTAAGACCACCCTCAACAAAAAGTGGCTTCTGTAAATCATAATAAGATCACAATTGAAAGATTAGTGTTGGAACAAAATGTCATCAGCCATCATCATATTACCATCTAAAGCAATTATTATCGCGTCAGAAATCCGTGTCCAATTTTCCATTAAAAGAGGTTATGACGATATATTAATAACTTTTGCAGCACAAAAAGTAAACCATGTGGTCATATGTATTTTGAACACCAATAGATAGATTCGACCAATTACTCTCAAATATAAAAAAAAGTTTGACAAATTTAATCTAAATTTAAATACATTTGTTCTTTGTATAAATACAAGATATTTAGCATAAATACATGTAATAGACACTAAGATTTTTCTAGTTTTCAATAAAATCATAACTTTTTTTTAACGGGCGAGCCGAAAATTTCACCATAATTATATTGTCCGTAGATTTTCTAAATCCTTGCACATGAAACCCAAATTAATGCATGTAAAAGTATAATAAAAGATATTTTATTATTACACCCGTAGGTTATGTGTAACTTGTATAACACTAATGTCTAGATGACGTAACGCAAGAATTAACCACAGCCCCCAAAAAATACTATTTAATAAAATTTAGATTTATCTTGTAGGTAACTAAAATATAGTGGTACATACTATTTTGGTCTGACGAGACATAAGTATTTATTCTTAGCTTATTAGTAATAAATAAAACAGTACCTAAATATTTAACTCGCATGCTTCGATCTTATAACAAGGTAAATTTATACATTTATATAAATTTTATCGTGTTATAAGGGTAGGCACATAAAAAGAGAAATATGAAATAATTAGGCAAACTTAATTTACTGCTTGAAGTCTTGACACTAAATTCAGTAGTTAGAAAACAAATACCCTGCAGTTACTTAATGTAGTGGGGATTGACGGACATGTTAAATTTAATTAAATATCAATTATATTTATAAATTATATGTAAGAAATAAAATTAATAGGTTTTGTATATTATGTTAAAAAATTTTATTTTATAAAAATTGCCTTATACCCTAAAAATGTAATCGTGTACTTACCTATCAGTACCTATATTGGAAAAACACTCCTAATAACATATTTATCTTATTTAACGGACTTCTGGGGAATAAAATGGAAAATTTATCATTTATCATCTGTCCAGACGTAGGCACACACACCACAATATTACCCAAGTAATTGTGCATAACAAAAATAAAATAGTTACTTATAAATTATATGTTATTTTTCTTAAAAGAAAATAAATGAATATTCCATTTCATTTTTAGTACGATTTTTTTAGGATAAAATCAAAAATGTCGAAAAGTTTATCTGAAGTAGACATGACGACAAATTCAAATCTATTTTTAGAATTCTTATCGCTTTACTAGATCAATCAGTAAGTTGAAATGAAAACACGTCTAAATTCTTATATTCCACGTGTGTTTGACAAAGACAGAAAATCACTGCTTCCAACCCCCTTAAATGTATAATTATTATTAGGATAATATAAAGTAAAAATGTTTTAGGTTTAAGAAGAGGAATTATATTATGTGCATCAACTATTGATATTTAGAAAGTTTCCCAAATACTCGAATTTTTTCAACTTAGTCGTGTAAGGGCGTGTATACATTATAATGCTATATTATATTATTTATAGGTATCTTTTATTTTAGCGCGTACCATTGTCAACATGGAAAATAATAATTCTAGGGCCCTCTATAACATGCTACTTGAACTTTTTCCTAAAATCCACCACTGCTTTTAAGTAAAATTAACACGGGAATTAACACAAAATGTCCAATAGATAGGTACACGAATTTTATGTTATACATTTGTGGTACATGACAATTTTCAAACTGGGTAGGTTAGATATAAAAAGTTGAGAACCGCTGTAACTCGCAAATTAAAAAACACGATCGTAAATCGGAAAGTGATGCTAGGAATCTAAAATCTCTTTGTTATTCGTGACTACAATGTCATAGTTAACACACTAAAATATGAAAATAACTTAATTTATAGACTTATTTTGAATTTTCATATTATTTAATAATTGTAAATAACATAGATTGTACGAGTGTACCTTTTAAATTTTTTATAGACTGAATCTAAATTTAAAATTTTACGAAGTTGTCTAAAACGATTTTCGAAATTCTTCAACATTTATTTTAAAAATTATATTAGGTATGCACCTCAACATAATTTATAAATATAACAATAAAAAAATAAATCATTGGTATACATTTCAAAAAGTGAACAAGTAAATTAACTATAAACGGAAAAGCACAAGACAATTTATTCAATATATTTTCGTAAATATAAAAAAAAAACACACAAATTGAGTTGAATTAAATATCAAATTAAACATCAGGTCAAAATAAATGTTTGTAGGAATAATATTATATCAAAATTTTAGTCGATTACTAAATGTTTGATAGAACAAATCTAAAAAAAAAATAACCGATCACCGATCTATTTTAAATGTCTTAGGAGTTAAAACACCGGTTAAAACTTTTTTCCCTATGTCTATATAAAGGGTTTATCGATTAATTTTTTCTTTATTTTATTTTAAGAGTAATTTCCAAAGATATTTATAATCAAAGAAAACATACCTATCTAAACTATATTTTTAAACCATATAGTAATAATAAGCTATAGACTGGGCATCCTTGTAAGTACAATTGAAATTGAAATTGATTGAAGCAATTTTTAATCATAAAGTAGTCATATCGGGATTATTTATTTTTAGTGTTATGAATTAGGATGGAACAGTTTGAAAGTGCTTAATTTTTAAAATTATCACTCGAAATGTATGTTTTTTATATTTCCCAAACCTAATTTTTAAATTATAAATTACTATACCTATTTATTTAACTACTACTAAAATACTATAGGACTGACGACTAAAACAAGACAAATGCCTACTGAAATACATGACATTATGGATGAGCAACAATCCCTTTTTTTCAGTCCGAGTTGGGTTTGAAATTTATATAAGAAGACGAATACCGCTCTTGGAACTTATAAGTTTTAAAACTGGCTGTTTGGTAAGTTGCCCACTTTCCCATCCCTGTATTATATGATTTCTAGTCATGACTCTTGATTATAAATTTTATCTTTAACCTTTAATATACTTTAATTAAAGAAACTAGGTACTTGTTTTTAGATTCTGAGTAAATCTAAGAATGAAGGATCTTGAGAATGTTTATTTTAATTATTTTCTTTAGTGAACATTGTTCGGATACTCTAAAAGTTTCATGTAATATATTTTATAATATTGTAATTTGAATCTAGATAGTATTCTACAAAGAGATTATCCCACAAATTATTTAAGTGCGAGAAAATGTTCTAAAAAATGTATGTTTTAAACTAAATGTTTCCTATTTTATCAAAAACCTGGCACTTTACAAGACTTCCAAATTCCCATCATGAAACATTACTTTGAATTATTATTGAACAAATTATAAGTACAATTAACAAAATCAAAAAGAGATAAACATTATCAATTATCTGAACCTCTCCAGCATTGATTATTAAAATGAAGTTGCCAACACAGTACAATAAAATTGGAACCATTAGCTATTTACCTTGATAAATCTCATTAACTGTAATTTCATTGTTCTATTTTTAATTTTTGTTTTCAATATTAATTATTTTTATATATTATTTTATGCCATATTAGTAATAGTAATTTCCAATTATCAAGTTTAGATCATAATTACTATAGTTACGCTCAGAATTATTTTTATTGAAAGTGATAATTAATTATCAGGCATCTTTAATTTCTGTCTGGCTTTTTAAACGTAATATTCTTTCAATTTTATCAATTTTTTTTGTACATAATTTAAGTCTAAAATAATATGATGTTTTAAAAGTTAAGTTAAGAATTAGTTAACTTTTGGTCAACTGGAACAATGCAATTGTATTCAATAAGAAAATTAAATTAGTAGATTTAGGTAGGTAATAAATAGGTAAAATACTTATTAGTTATTAAAAATAAAAACTTTACAGAAAAAAGGATTTATACCAAAAAATATTTTTTAGGTACCTATATGATTTTATTTAAACATTCAAAAATAAATCCTATAAAATGAATTGAATAAAATATATTGTGACATTTTCAGAGAATTGGTAAAATTTTTTTGAAACAATTATTAATTACTTATTTAAAAAATATAGCTGTTAAATTTATTTTTAAATTCTAGTGGAATATGACGAATACCTATAACCTAATTAGATTTTTTCAACTCTCAGATTTCAATGTTCCACAATGTGCAGTCAAATCCTTCATAATGAGTATTACTATTATAAAATCCCATAACAGTATATTTCAATTTCTTATGGTTCAAAACAAGTCATTCGAAACAAAACATTGAAACTATAATTACTAGTAGATAAACTATCAAAGTATAGCCAAAGCAAATAGAGGCACAAGGAGAAAAAAGTAAAACTAATTTACATTCAAAATTAACATTATATGGAAAAACTAAAAAAATCAATATTTTGTATAGGTAGCTGTTTATTTTATCTTGATTTGGAACAAATATCTGAAGACTAATTGAATAAACAACTTTTTTTTAAGTTTGCAATGAGTAACCTGACAAAAATCTGTAAGCGTTCAAATATAGAATGCCCTCAGAAATATGAGATTTGATGAAGTCATTAATGGGAGGATTTGTTAATGATAATTTACAAAATATTCTCATAAAAAAGATGGTCAAAACTAAATAGGTACTATATTTGAAGTTAACACTAGTAAAAATTTAATGTAAAAGCATTTTTAACAAAATTCATCTATGTAATAGTTATACCCTCTGTTCAAGATCAGAAACATAGTCGGCAGCCACCAATTTTCGTTGAGCCATGGTCAGACAACACCTGTTTGTCACCCCCACCCACCAAAATAAGTGTTTAAAATTTGTTTAGGTACCTAGTTAGTTACTTCAAGTTAATAAATAAATATTAAAATAAATCAAATTAAAAAGTTACCTATGTGAACATTTTGATAATTTTAATGGGCACCTAGCTATCATGTTGGATAAAACTAGTGATAAGACCTGCTGACTATGTTTCTAATACAATACAAAAACACTTTCCTGTGTTAAGTAGGTAGTTGATAGTTTGATACAATGTATCGTGAAATAAACTAATATATAAATACCTAGCTAGTAAATATCACAAAATACTATGAGCTCTCGACTACTTATGGCTATCAAGATCAGTTGATAAAAAGTAAGATGTAATAGAAAATAGGAAAAAAATGTTTAAGTAGGAAGGTTACATTGGGTTTCAACAATAAAAGTGTATTAGATATATGGATAATGTTTAGGTATATAAAATATGTGTACAATAAGTAGGGTTTAAATGTTTAATTACCTAGCTTGAGCTTCATCTAAAGACTGATCAGTAATGTTCATTATTTGCTGCAAAATTTCACCAATATCCTGTTTACGTGTATCTTGATCAGGTGGCGTGGGAGCACCATGGTTGGGATCGACAGAGGACATCCCATAAGGTTGTGGCAACATCGCACTGGTCGGATGCATCATGCGGTTATGCTCATCCATGCTATTCATTTTGATAAATTCTGAAATTGTACGTACAAATTCAATTAGATAGGTACGTAATGTAAGTAATTTTATCAGTTCCAAACACGATTAGGGGCATTCAAATGAAGAAAAAATATAATCCATTGACACCTTCCGAGCGACTTAAATGGGGTGGAGTAGCAATTGGAGAGATGAATGTTTATCTATACATTATTAGGTAGGTATATTGCATAAAATCGTGTCTGTCGAGGGACGACACACGTCGTTGACGCGAGTTCTGTGTGTACTCACATTGCGAGTCGTCTGCGGAAAACGTCAGCGGCATAACAGTGCAGAACCGAAGAGATCCTGTCAGGAAGTCTAACGGTATAGACGATGGCTTTCCGCGGGAACGAAGTTCGCCGGCATGAAGTAGTTACCGCACGAGCACAGGAAACGCACACGGACGTCGACGATTACTATCGTAATACGATCACAAACGTACCATACGTACGGCAGGTATTATGTTTTTTTCATTCCTGACGTGGTCGAAATTTCAGCGGAGAAACGACGAATAATATCGAGACGGAGAAGGAGAGATGAAAATATAGGTATAGCGAAAATGAAACCCAAGACAACGGCGAATCGCACACGGACCGTGCGTAATATTCCAGACACGTACTTGGGAAATTGAAAACAAACGCCTAATCGGTGTAATTAATTAATAAAAATATTATTGAACGACGGTGAAGGAGACGACGGCGACAGCGGTGGTGACTGTGATGATGATGATGACGATAATAATAACAGTGAAATTAATTCGATAAAAAAAAACGAAACAAAACAAAACAAAACAAAAGAAATATGGCCGTAACGCGAAACGGTACGGTCGAGACGCGGACAACTGGGATTGAGAGCTGTCTCGGCGCCGGTGGCAGAGCGGTTCCAGATTTCCCAGTGCCCGGGGATGGTGGTGGGGAGCCCAGCCGTCGGAATGCCGTCAGCCGGCCAATGGCGGGTCCCGCTTTTGCGTCGCGGGTGACGGCGGCGATACGACCAACTACACCACGTACGACTATAATACAACTTTACTTACTACTGGCACCGCCACCACCGACGTCACCATCACCGTCACCGTCACCGCCTCCGCCGCTGCCACCTCAAACACCGCCGCTACCACCCCACCCAGCGTCAACAACCGACGAGGCAACGACAGTAGAACGGTACCGCTCGGCAAATGAAGCGAATAATATGGACCGATCGTCAATCGGACGGGGGCCCTCGCTTACTAGCTTCCCGGGAAAATCCCGGTGCGTTGCACCACTGATTGCCGCCGGGTCCTTATCAGCTTTCAACCGGCGCCCGGACTCGTTGTCCCAGACGACCGACGCCGTCCGGCGACATTTCGTCCACTAAGAGTTCAATAAATAATAAATAATAATCATGTTACAGAAATCTTGTGGATTACATATTTACATCTGATATTCTAATGGCTAATGTTATTTATTGTATTAGATTGCGAATACTACAGATAGGTATCTTCGGAAATTCGCCGAAGCAAACCGGTGTAGATTTTCCCTTAAATTGTAAATCGGTTGAATTTGAAAAAATTCAGTATTTTTCTTCACTAGTTTTCGAGCGATTTATGAACAAAACACATCGGTCACCGGCACGAACTAAGATATCTTAGTCCGTGGTCACCGGTTAACTTTTTTCGACTATGATAACAATTAACAAGGTGGTTGAGGAATAACGATCTCAGGTTGACTTTTCCTCTTTTTATCACTTTAATTATCTTAAATAATACTTTATGATATAGGTAAACCAATCTATCCATGAATTTCTAAGCTTTATAACTCATATATATTCTATAAACTAAGTTTATAATTATAGGTCTATGTTATAAGTTATAACTACTTATAAGTTATAACTAAACTGATGTAGACCTATTGGTTTGTAACTTTGGCGTTTTTGCAGGGTATACTTGTGGAAGGCGGGAAGGTCAATCCATAAGCACCAAACTCCAATGAACTAATATTTTTACGGTACATTAGCAGTCAGCACCTAACTTTATTCTGTGGTATAACCACACGCTGTGGGTTCTTACTTTTTCTGGCTGGTAAGGACTCTTAGGGATGAGGATTTATTATTTATTGTAATTTCCATGGGAATAAGCAAAAATAAATTATTTTCATAATATCGGCATCTGGCGTTGCTAAATTATTTGAAACGATTATTTTAATGATACAGCCAATAACTATGTACCTATACAGTTGTAGGTATATAGGTATATGTTTATGCAAACTAATGCTATTTGTCAAAAAAATCATGCATTCATGTAAATTCTGGATGGTACTTGCCTGGTCTTGGTATCAACCTAGTGATGGGAAAATACCCGGTAAATATAATTTCAGGTATTTACCCGGTAAATTTGGTAAATTTATTTTTTATTCTAAAACCAATCCATGGATATCACAATACTTTTTTATGATTGTTTCCTGACTTTTCCATGCTTTTCCAAGACTGATGATCAGTGTAAATAAATTTTGATAATTCTATTCACTTTGAAACCAATACCACTTAGAAGTGTTAATAAGGCTTCTGATATATCAGTTGAAAAATTTTAAAAATACAAAGGCACAATTTTTTTTTATAAGCATTTATAAAGATCGAAATTTGACAAAATTTATCAAATTCAAAATTGAATAATTATTTTGTAGTTACAAATTTAGAAAATGTTCAAGTTTTATATCTAAGGATTGAAAATTTATAACAAAATTCCACGTAAGTAGTTAATTCTGTTACCAAAAAATCTAAAAAATACATAGACACAGTTTATTTTTATAATTTTATGGTCATCTTAAGTTCAAATTTGGACGAAATTGCATAATAAAAAACCTTGAATAACTATTTTTGTTCTTTTGTTGTGATTGTATAATATTATTCGTGCGGGTACTTGAAATTTCTAAAGTACTCTATTATAATATATCTACCATAGTATCAGGGTTTTTTGTTGATGTATAACGCGTTATAAGTACCTAATGGATATTGTGATATGATTAATTTGGAATTCATTATAGGTCAATTTTTTTAATACCATAGATAAGTATATAATATGTCTTATACATACACTGACATACCGTCTCCGCTCAGAATCGTTTTTCTTATACAATGATATTATATTATTGAATTCAAATTTAATACCATTCATTATACAGTAACCCACTTGTAACCACTGTACAGCAGAGACTCTTTTTTTTTTTAATATTTTTATATGAAAAAAATATAAAAAATATTTACCCAAATTTTTGTTATGTAAATATTATAGTGGGTAAAAATTCAAAATATTTCACATAAACCTACCTACCTACTTTTGAGATGTGAGAATTTCAAATTCGGTAAATCATCATTTTCTTATTGTTAAACACAAGACCGCCGTTAACGCCTTAGTGTCGCCTTATAATTTATATAGGTACGCACCACTTCTATATAAAATAATTAAAAATTGAAGCAATTCTCCTCTGGCTTCTGGGTATTTATTATTTGCATAATTTTTTATATGAACATAATATTATTAGGCATGATATTAGGTAATGTCCTGGATAACACGATATAGCCTATATTATATATCTATTTAGGTACCAGCATTCATTACATAAATAGTATGAACTATGATTTATGATCAACGGTAATACGCATTTCCTTCTCTGAATTTATTCTGTTATATAGAACATTGTTTTAAATTTTAAATATTTTATAATTTATATCATTTTACTCCGAGGCCCGAGCAATGTCATCGGTATATTTTTCTTTTGCAATAGTAAATATAATGAATGACTGTTGAAATTTCAACAGAATTAAAAGTACGTATCTATCTATATTATATAACATGTTATAATAATTTTATAATCATTATTTATACCATTCAAACAGTTCAATTGTTTTTTTTCTTTTGATAGGAAATAATATGTACACAAATCAATAAATGTCTATACGGCTAACTTGCTTAACAGTTAACTGTGATGTACCTATATAGATGTGCATATACGAACTTAATCTATTGACAAGAAGGTATTTTATTTGATTAATAAGCCACTTATAGTCACACATTAGCGGCATTTTAATAAGTTTACTTTGAGTTAACCTTAACTGGCTTAAATGTTTAGACTGCATGACATCAAATTATGAAAACTGGGACATTTAGACCACAGATTAAAAAAACAATAATCATCTCAGGTCACAGGATAATAAATATTGTTTTCATCAATTTTAGACTCGAAGAAGTATTCAATAATAATTTTTGATTCAATACTATCATAATTTTTAATAATAATTATTTGAGTTTTATACTGTGAATTTATCGATATACATGTATAATACTAAATCTAAATAATATTGTATTTAGCTTTGGCATCTGCGAATTGTTTTTATAACTCGTATAAATGTATTTCTGGGGAGGACCCAAAAATTCTACTATTTCGATCCATGATCCACTGCGTGGATACATACAAAAAAATCATTCATAATATAACTGCACTATTTTAAGGAAGTGATGAAGTATTAACAATTCAGAATTAGATTCCGCTAACAAAATTAAATTAACCCAAGTCATAATGAACAAAATGCATTTATTGTTACAAACACTTTGTAGTAAAATTATATTTATTTTTGTAAACATAGCGTATTATTAAATTATTAACATTTAGTTATAATGTAAGAATATACGTATATAGTTATAGTATATGTACGATGTACTATTATAATATAGTATTATAAATATATCACAAAGTTTCATTAACATTTACATGTATTTAGTGATGGCATACATATATTAACAATATAATTATACTTATTATATAGGCTATAGGCACCTACATAATATTATAAGACTAAATTTCTAAATTAATTTTTAGTTTAATGTGTATTGTGTATTTTTAAACATATAATAATTATTACATGACATTGTCAATGTCAACATACATTTTTCTGTTGTAACTTTTAATGATTATATATCTAACAGCTATCAGTTACCAATATTATTATACTTTTTTGAATATATTATATATTTAACATTATAAATGGTAAATGTCGTAATATCTGATATAACAGCCTATACGTTTTTGAACATAAATTATAAATATAAAACTTTAGATTGTTTAAATATTAATGAGATAATAATGCATCATGTACCTATATAGTAGGCACTTAATTTATATCCGCCGTGTATGCACTATTCGACGATAAGATGACACGAAATATTTCCAACACATGACTCTGAATTTTATTTGGGTTTTTTTTACTGCTATAAAGGACTTAATATTACATTTTGTCTATCTTAAAATATAAAATTGACTTATTCATAGTGAATTAAAATTCCGATTTATGCATGTTGTATTTAGATAGGTATTAATTAGTATTATAGATAGGTATTAATAAGTACCTAAATATCACATATAAATCATGAATAATCATAGCATTTTTAAAGCCTCTCGTCATCAATTTTTAGTTAGGCGGAATCTATACATATAAAATTAAAGTTCGGCGGAGTCGATAGCCGACGCAATCGATAAGATTCTTATAGGTAAAAAGATAATTTCGGACCGCATGTTACCAGGTGAATTTATACTACCTGCAGTAAATTACCTTTTTGGGACTCAAATTGTTCGAGACACTGTAGTATGTGTATTGTAAACCAATTCATACATAATATGTCCTTGCTTTAAACCAACATTTTTTTTTTTTTTTAATTGATCTTTTTAAAGCCCGGCGACTATGGCCATTAGCTTGATTTTAGGGTTTATGATTGTAGGACGTAGGTAGTAGGGTTTGAAATTGTAGGGTTATTACACGTGTGTGTTGTGTTTGGCAGAATTTCTATTGGGGCACCCGTAGGTTTCTGCCATGCCCCGGAGTGGGGGATGGCGGCACTTGTTCTCCGGACACCGTGACTTGCCCGGAGAAAAATGCCACCCAGTGGTCGAGAGAATCGCACCCGCGACCGCCAGCGCCGCAGACGACGTGTTCGACCGCTCGGCCACCTCGTCCCTCCAACATTTTATTAAGTATTAAATCAAATCATGTATTATAACTTACCTAATAAGTAATACATTTTATAAGTATTCTGATTGGGGCCCTCAGCCAATATTATTACTACCTACTTAATAAATAGATCCTGTCCTTAGGTACAAGAGACTCCAGAACAAAATCGGTTAGTCCTATGTAGACTTCCCGATCGTTGTATTTATATACCTACTGGCACGTTTAACGTCGAGAGGGCTGCATCCGAGTTGGGTCATAAAATTCAAATTCAAAAAGGTACCGTACACCTGTCTTGCAGGTACGAAATCCGTGTGTGCACTATTATTTGCTTAAAATAATCCGGGACCCAACTAGTATACTACCTTTTTTTTTACGTTATCGCAGAGAGCCGGAAATACCCGGTGGGGCAATTCGCCACCTCCCCTACATCGTTTATTAAATGCAATGCAACAATTACAAATATTTATACAAATATGAAGGGCCTCTGACCCTCCCAAAATTATTGGCTTTCAGCCCACAAATTTAGAAGTCTTAATTAATTTTCAGCCACTTGTCCTCGCTGTCTCTCGCGCTCCTCCTCCTCTCTGATGGACAGGATATGGTGGACGAGTTTGGCGACTGCGGCCCAGTGTCTCCTTGACTTCAGCATCGTAGTGGTTGCGGTTTCTGCTGTAAATTCCACTGACAGTTCAGCTTCCAGCTCCATCCTTGCCCGCCACCATCTATCACACTTGAATATTGCATGCTCAGCATTATCCAGTGGGGGTCATTGCAGTCGACACAGTAAGGTTGTTTGACTTTCTTGTAACGGCAGAGGTAATATCCGAAGCAACAATGACCGCAGAGGAATTGGGTCAGATGGAAGTCCACCTTGCCAAATCCTCTTGCACACCATATAGCCACGTCGGGAATGAGTCTCCTCGTCCAGCTTCTTGGGTCATCCGCATCAACATCCCATCTCGCCTGCCATTTGGAGAGAGTATCTTTCCTTAGCTCTTATTTGGTTAGGGCATTGGGCCCCCCTCGCCTCCATAGGAACTCGGTTTTGCGTTCTCTTGACAACAGGTTGGCAGGCGGGGTTGACGCCAGCACGTTCGCCGCTACCCCTGAAACCGTTCTATAGGCACAGGTGCAGCGGAGAAGTATCTTCCGTTGAGTTTTGTTCAACAGCTTCACATTACTAGGAATGAGGTTAAGCCATTAAGGGTATGAGCCCAGGACGGGGCGCCGTAGAGCAACACGGAGTGAACGACCGACGACAGTAAACGGCGCCTATCCTCCCGCGGACCGCCGACGTTTGGCATGATCCTTGCCAACTGTGTGGAGATCATTTCCGCCTTGGCCGATGCTGACTGCATGTGTTCTTTGAAGAAGAGGGAACCGTCGATGATCATTCCGAGGTATGTCATCTTCTTCGTCAACAGTATTGTCTTCCCGCCCACCTCGATGTTTGGTGTTCCGTGTTTGTACTTCTGGGTAAAGAGTACAGCCTCTATTTTATCTGCTGCGATCTGGAGGCTGAGGTTTGAGATGCGATCCTCTACAAGCCGTAGCGCATAATTCGCTAGTGCTTCCAACTCTTCAACAGTCTTGGATGAGACCACCAACAAAGTGTCATCTGCGAAGCCGGGTAACTTCGCTCCCTGGGGTAATGGCATTTTCAGGACAGAGTCGAACGTTGCGTTCCAGAGAAGGGGACCAACGACGGATCCCTGTGGCACTCCTCCAGAGATCTCGACCTCCATTCTTCCACTGCCGGTGGAAACCGTTCCAGACCTGCCCCAGAACTAGTATACTACCTATCTGTAATGAATTTCCAGTGGTAGGGACCCAACTCGGATGCGCCACGCCGGTCGGGAGGCGGACAAAAGCCTATATTAACCTTCTATTGAGTCCCACCGACTGCTGTGTCAACTGTCAAGTGTGGTATTTACCTACCTATACCTATTCTGTATAGCCCGCGAGTCTGACCGGTGTGGCATGCACTATAAGGTTACAACCAGTACAATATTGCTAAATCCATTATATTCTTTAGGACATTATATTATAGGTAGGTACACATTCGGTGACAGCGATTAACAATTATGCAGTATATAATGCTGGTTCCATGTCTTTACGCCGACGGTATCAACGCCGACGGTATCTACGCCGATAGCATCGACGCCGACGGTATCTACGCCGACGGTATCTACGCCGACGGCATTAACGCCGACGGTACCTACGCCGATGGCATCTACGCCGACTAGTATCTACGCCGACGGAAAAAATGCCGACGAGTATCTACGCCGATAGTAAATACGCCGATGGTATGTTTTTTTACAAAACGAATGTGTTTCCATGGGACTAATATAAGAATAAAAATTAACTAATATGAAACTGAAAATTTTTGAAAATTAATTATGTTACTAAATAATTAAAAATAAAATACGTAACTCGTAGTTGCCTTGTTTTTTTTAATAATAAATATTTTTTGGCTCTGAAAAGAACCTTTTTATGCCCTAAAAAGGACATTTTTTAAAACGACGAGTGCCCCCTAAACTTGGCCATTTAGCAAGATTGGGATTGAAAATTATGAGCATTTCCCTGCAAATAATCGGAGGTGTCGCGATTCCCATAGATTTCAACGATTTCTTTAATTCGCAATGCTGTGTCTCGATAACACAGTTATGGGTATGTGTTTGTCTTCTTTGATTTTGTCCGTGGTATACACAAAACCTTTATTGATCAACTGTTGGTTAACCTTCTGGCTTAAAACAAATTCAAGTGGCATTGTTGCTTTTGACTTCTTACAAGGCCGAATGTTAGAATCGAACTGACCGACGAACCGGACTTGGAAGAATGCTTCCTAAATTTAAGTTGAGCCTCTGGAATTGTTACGAGGCATCGTTGAATGATCTACCCAAAACTAACAACGCCGTTGAAGGCTGGCATCGAGGATTCAGCTCTCTTTTAGGAGCAAATCATCCATCTCTTTGGAAATTCATTGAGAGTCTGCAAAATTAGCAGAGCCTAAATGAATTCCAAATCAACCAGTACATTGCTAGATTACCACCAGCACAGGGACGACGGTGTTATCGAGACACAGCATTGCGAATTAAAGAAATCGTTAAAGACTATGGGAATCGCGACACCTCCGATTATTTGCAGGGAATTGCTCATAATTTTCAATTCCAATCTTGTTAAATGTCCAAGTTTAGGGTCCACTCGTCGTTTTAAAAAATTTCCTTTTTAGGACATAAAAAGGCTCTTTTCAGAGCTAAAAAATATTTATTATTAAAAAAAACTAGGCAACAACGAGTTACGTATTTTATTTTTAATTATTTAATAACATAATTAATTTTCCAAAATTTTCAGTTTCATATTAGTTAATTTTTATTCTTATATTAGTCCCATAGAAACACATTCGTTTTGTAAAAAAACATACCATTTGCGTATTTACTATCGGCGTAGATACTCGTCGGCATTTTTTCCGTCGGCGTAGATGCCGTCGGCGTAGATACCGTCGGCGTAAATGCCGTCGGCGTAGATACCGTCGGCGTAGATACCGTCGGCGTTGATACCGACGGCGTAAAGACATGATACCATAATGCTTGTTACGGACCTAAAAATAAACGAAAGCTTTGGTGATCTAGAACCTAGAATGGTACATATTGGATTACTGATACACATAATCTGCGGTATAAACAATCAAGTAAGGGTTATGTATCAACAGAATCAATAGGGATGAATAGTGAAACACGACGGCGCACCATTCATCATTACATCCACTGGAACAACACCAGTCATGAAAATGCACAGCAACCTGCAGTACCGATAACAAAAGGTTAAGGGAAGACACCACAGGATACAATTCCATGCACGAGGACTAAAATATAATGTCAAACGGCGGTGAGCGTGCACCATAAGAGTGACAATGACCGCCAACAACGATCATCGTCACCGGTGGATGTCATGATCCTCCGAGCTTTACAACCAGTCATATATGGTACTAGGCTTGGCTTAACCAGCCACAACCAATCACAGAGGATCTTGGTCGGCGCCTGCGCTGCGTACCAACGCAATAGGTGAGACCGTAGACTCACGGTTCTACAAGAACCATACCTTCTATAATCTATACCAATCAACCAATGTGAAGTTAATTTTTTCATAGACCGGACTGATATACATTTTAATTAAGATCGAGACCGGACGTCCGGACCGGATGAAATCGAGACCAGACCAAATGCAAAAATTTGGAAATAATACAGAAAATAATGCTCGTAATTTCATTACCTCGAGTTCTTTTTATCGATAATGGGTGAATATATTTATGTCATCAATAATAACATACAGAATTGTGAGGAGCTAGATAGGTGTCCTAAAACATTATAATCTAAATTAAAATAACATAATATAAATATGCAAAATTATATTATTAAATTATAATTCAAAATTAATATCACTGAAGTCTAGACCGGACCATATAGACTGAATTTGAATTAAATGTGGACAGGACCTGATCAATTTTTGTTTTAAACAAGGAGACCGAATGGGAGTATGGGACCGAACCACATTAGATTACAATGCACAAAGACCTAAAAGACAGTAAAGAGCTCCCACTAAACAACTACAGTTTACTCAAAGCTCAACAGCTCGTCGGAACATAAATATAGTATACCTACAACCTACATTCATAGGGGCCAAGTACATGGGTGCTCAGGTGTTCGAGCACCCAATATAATTTTATTATAATAGGAAAACCGTTATCACCACTTGCATTGTTTGATATCAGCGGCTACACAGCAAAACCAGGTTCTGATGACTTATAGCTGGAAATTTCAACTAAGGCAAGGGAACTAAGTATTAAGGAGCCAAATGATCAAAGACCTAACAAAAAACCAAAAAAGTTTATTCAAAACAGTGAAAAAGATTCATCTCCATCGGTCCTATCAGTTAATGACAAGTTTAAACGTATATATTATGAAATAATAGATGTTATTACTGTATCAGCACTTGATGGTAGATTTCAACAAAATGTAATCGATAATTTATGTTAATTAGAGAAATTTGTAATCGGCGAAGACAGACATAATATCACCGATGTTATTGAATTTTATGGAAGTGATTTTAACAGAGATAAATTGATATTACATCGAGATATGTTCTTAGATATTGCAAAATCTAGTGATGTCTCGATAAAAAGTTTACAAGACGCCGTAAATTTCATGAAATCTGATAATTTGTGTGATATGTTATCAGAATTTTCCAAACTCCTACAAATTATCTTAACTATTCCAGTTTCATCTTGCTGGGCAGAAAGGTCTTTTTCAGCATTAAGGATGTTGAAGACATTTTTGAGATCAACGATGACACAAAATGATATAGCTATTCTTCATGTCCATTGAAACGAAGATGTGGATATAGAAAAAGTCACTAATACTTTATAAATAAAGCCAAAGTTCGTCAAAACACATTTGCATTGTAATGTAAAATATTTTAATTTTAATTGTTCAAGCTTATATAATGTTATATAATAATTGTTACTAAAAACTTATATTTTATTATATACTCAGTATTTATTAAAAGTTGTCTTATATTATATTGTAAATATGTTTTGTTACCAGTTTATAGAAAATTTAGTATAGGGAGTTAGGGGGAAAAGTCCCTCACAAATACTTGACATCAGTGGAGCACACAGGATTTTTTTTTAGGGGGAAGAGGGTTATTCTATTAATAATTTACTTAAGAGATAAATATTGTATAGCCCTAACATTATACTAGGCCTTTGAGAAATTTAGGGGGGGGGGTACTACCAAAAAAATGTATTATAATGAAGTAAATACTTTTTTTTTTATGAATATGAACAATTATATACTTTTAACTTTTTCTAAAAAATATAGGCCTTGAGATGGTTCTGACTCCCATACTCCCACATCGTCTCTTGTAGGCAAGGGTGGGTTGGGGAGAGATTTTGGCTCGGAAAAATACAAAAGTACTAGACGCCTGGACCACTTACTAATTTACCAAATATTTAACCTACATGAACCATTACTATTTGAACATAGCTACAATTTGTTTTACTCGTTTATTTAGATATTATTAATTATTATTAAAACTTAATATATAAATAACTTAATATAATTGTATATTTGTATCTGCAGATATGCCCGAAGTCCGAATAACCAATGGCAACTAATAATAAATAAATACTCATTTCTACTAATTATTTCCCCTATAACCAATAGCAACCTTTTATACACAAAAATGTACATCGTAAATGTCAAAATCCCTGTTTGAGCATCTCCCCGGGTTGGCCTACCGGGTCCGATTGTGAATCTAAACCATTCAAGGACCCAGTCGAACACATGCAAAAAATTTCAACAAAATCGGTGAAGTCGTTTAGGAGTTTGAATATTTACACACGGACTTCAGAAGAAATATAATATATAATATTATATTAAGATGGTAAAATCTGGCGGTACATCGATATCAACATTTATTTATTTTTTATTGAACAGCTATAAATATAAGTAAATAAAACAATATAATTATATAACTTAATAATTGAAATTATTAATGTTACAATTTTTTTATTTAATGAGAAAGTTAGCTTTCTCAGAAACGCAACCTTCAGAATAAGCTTATTCAATAATAATGGGCTTTTAGACTTAAGTTTTCTAAAGATGTATAACTAATATTATCTATTTCGAATAGAACATTTTTCGATTTTTTATCACATTGAGTATAAGAACTTCTATGGTTTACTTTCATTTAATATACTTACTACATGAACGAAATCAACACCCAAAATCTATGTACACCTAATATTTTAGATTCTGAGTGGAACGATGAATGTATTGATTTTACAATGATGTGTGTTTTTTTATTTTTTTTGTGTCTGTCATCACGTTTTAGGACAGTAAAAGTGCTTGGATTTTCTTCAATAGTAGCTTTTCTGATAGGAAAGTGAATCTTGTTGGTACTTTGGGGGGTCAAAAGTGAAAATTCCCAGTAGTTTTCAAAAGCGCCGTGAAAAACAAAAGAAAAATTAAGGAAAAACGGGAATTTTTACGCAAAATCTGTTTTCGAGAAAATCGATTTTGGTTATTGGTGTAACTCTAAAACAAATGAACGTATATACATGAAATTTTCACTAGTTGTTTATATTTGCATTTTCTATACACGATAACATTTTCAAAATATTTTGATTTATTTTGAACTGTTTAGGGACATTTTCATTTTCCATTTTTTTTTGTTTTTTTTCTAAAAATATCAATAAAATTTTATTTGGTGGTTGCAAAAGCTTGAAAATTTAATAGAAGGCTCCTAATATATTTTTTCAAAGGCAGATGAAAAATATTAAAAATCCTTAGTCACAATTTTTTTTTTATAAGCATTTAAAGTTCAAAAATTGACAAAATATGGAAAAATCACGAAAATTAGCAAATTATTTTGAGTTAAGAATTCGTAAAAATTTTTCTTTTTAAATCTAAGATTTGAAAATGAAACACAAGATTCCTTATAAAATTATCTACCTTTATCAATCAAAAAATCTCTACCGGACAGTCAAATTAAATTTTTATGAGCGTTTGAAATTCAAATTTTTACAACATTGGATATTCACTCGATTACTCATGTAGCGATTTCCTTATTTTGTTGCAATTTAAAAACGAACAACTGTAGATACATGAAAATTTCACTGAATGTTTATATTAGCATTTTCTATACACGATACAATTTTGAAAATATTTTGACTCTTTTTGAGCTGTTTATGGACATTTACAGCTTTCAATTTTTTTTAGTTTTTTTTTCTATAAATATCAATAAAGTTTTATCTGTTGGGCCAAAAAGTGTAAAAATTTAATACAAGGCTCCTGATATATTGTTACAATAGCAGTTGAAAAATATTAAAAATACATAGGCACAGTTTTTTTTTATAAGCATTTAAAGTTGGAATTTTGACAAAATTTATCAAAATCTCGAAAATAATCAATCGTTGGAATTAAAAAATTATAAAATGTTCAGTTTTTATAACTAAGAGTTGAAAATTTAAAACAAAGATTCTCTTAAATAATTCATACTGTAACCAAAAAATCTAAAAAATATATAAACACACTTATTTTTTACAGACATTTTAATTTCAAATTTAGACAAAATTTCATATTTAAACCAAGAATTACGATTTTAGTTATTTTGTTGTGATTGAATAATATTATTCGTGGGTACTTGAAACTTCTAAAGTGTACTATTATATATCTATGATAGTATTACGGTTTTTGTTGATGTATAACGCGTTATAAGTATCTAATGGATATTGTGATATGATTAGTTTGGAATTTATTATATTTACCTATTATAGGTAAATTTTTTGTTTAATACCATAGATATGTATATAATATGTCTTATACATAGACTGACATACCGTCACCGCTCAGAATCGTTTTTCTTATACAATGATATTATATCATTGAATTCAAATTTATTACCATCCATTATACAGTGACCCACTTGTAACCTACTGTACAGCAGAGCGACACCCACTTGCCCACCTTTTTTATTTTTAATATAAAATGATCTATGTTTGTAATGTGTTATACTGTTATCCATAACCTGTTCAGTGGGGCTCATTATCTTTTAAAAATAATAAAATAAAAATAAATAAAAAATAATAACATAATGTACTTCAATTAAAAACAATAAGAAAAAGGATAATGCTTGACCCGACAAAGTGCCCCCTCCCCCAATGTATTGTTTATTTTATAGGCATTCGTGTAGTAGGTCCTATAACTATTTTTTATGTGTAGTAGCTGATCTACCACATTATACTATATGTAGTAGCCAGTAGGTGTAGTTTTTGTCGTGTGTTTATCATATACCTACTATATTTTATAGTTAATTATTTATGGTTGTGTATTTTCTAGTATCTAACTGATATACCTAGAACCTTATATTTTGAAGAGAAAATAAACACATTTTTGTACATTTTAATAGATATTTAAAATGTTTATTGTACTAAACAATGTGTAGTTTAATTTAAAAAAATGTAGATATTTATACCTATAAATAAGGGATGAAATTAATGTGTTTCTATGTATATGGTAAATCGTAAATCACTAGTTTAAAATTCGCAGATCACTATAGGTATACTAAGGTAGATCACCTGCTACACAAATTCCACTTTATAAAGACGTGCTGGTATCTTGTATGGTACCACGTACTACCTACCTACTATGATTGTCGTATACACTCTACCCACACTTATACTGTATACTGTAGACTGTAGAGTGGAGACCCTAACTGCAGGGGCTGCCCCTTCGACAACTTAATTATAGGTATAGAAAAAAATGTATGTTTAATCAACATAACATAAAATAATATTTAAAAATGTTTATTTGAAGAAGTGACAAAATCTGACCAATCCGTCAATTTTTTTAGACGCCCCTGCGTCGTGTATTGAAATAATTAAACAGTAAAGTTCATCATGGCAGCCGTGCTATTTAAAAAGTCTAGACGATAGTCGATAATCGTACAATAGTTATTGACGTTGTACCTACACCGGGCTTACACTTCAACACTTGTAGTGTATGAAATATGAATCTATGATCTAAGTCTTAATTAAGAGTTAAGAACAAAGTTTTAATTAGGTAGGTTTATGATAATAAAGTCGATAATCCATTTACGAAAATATGAAATCTTTAATCTATCGACAATTTACATATTCACATATTTTCATTTGTTGACCAACAGCAACGCAATTTACGCGCAATTGAGTAGTTTGGATCATCGATAGGCTTCAGTTAAAGGCGCAAAAATCGGGCAGCATTATTTATAATATTATAGTAATAAGTAATAACTAATAAGATTTGAGTAATGACTAATGAGTTATGAATATTATATTCAATAATCAATATTGTATACCTACTTTATCTATACTCAATGGTAATTTGGTAATAATCACGAATAAAGAAATAGGTACAATGTAAATATGTAATTAATGATTTATTTAATCGTGCTTTGTGGCAAAATTAGCCTTTATAGTTTATAGCCTATAGGCTGTCTATTGATAATATCACAGATTAAATTAAATCATAGATTTATAGACATAATATTATAATAATATAAAGAATCTTTATACGTTTACGAATGAAATTAATTTATAAGGTATAATATTAGGTCTTAGGTACCTATACCATTGATTAAATAAACTATATTTAATCAATGGCCAATGCCTATTGCCTATACATCGTGTATTCGTGTATTACAAATCTGAGGCCCGGTTTTTCAATTGACTTTAACTGGCAGTTAGAAGAATTTAACTGCCGGTTAATACTTTGTCCCAGCTTTGGAACTCCAGTTAAGCTAGCTATCAGGTTTAACCGATAATTAAACTAGCCACTACTATTTCTTCCTATTTACATTTTAACTGTTAGTTAATTCAATAATTATTATTGATTGTGATAATTTTAGCAAGTACAGTACAATAAACTTGGTTTATTAAAATCATGAGCATAGAACAATATCATGGCACGAACGTCGGAATAGCATAGTCCAATAGTCCATAATCCATAGTGGCCAATACTATCAGCTTTAAGGATTAAGGTTAGGTTATAACTCGGCGCGAGTAGATGGGTATGGTAGTGGTACAACCACTAAAGAGTTCTGTGCACATACCACGTTTTTAAACCACCGGTCGACGGCGTTCGTTATCAGCTTGATATATAGCAATTGTTAAATTAAAAATTTGTTATTTGTTTCAACTTGTCTGAGTTGTTTCATAATCTTTTTATCTTCCTGCTCACTAATAACTGGTTTGCTGGTCGTCGTCGATTGTGTTGTGCTCTAGGCAATTTAGAATACCTAATCGGAAAAATTTCCTTGTTAATTATTTAATTTTTATAATATCATACATATTATAATTATATTCACTGATATAATAATACTTCAGTAGGAGGGCGGAGAATATTATTATTGCCAATTATTATATTATTCTACGATTATTTCGTCGTGACGAATCAGTCCCGACACGTACCTACTTACCTATCAGTGGTTTGCGACTTGATTCGTACGATTTTCTTTTAGAACACGTTAATTATTACTCGGTCAGTACTTACGTTTCGTCGTCCCCACGTGTGATACATCGAGGTAAGCATACCAATTATTGTTTATTATGTATTATATTCTTTGAATGTCATTTAATGTAATATTGCAGCCGTATTATAATATTTCGGTATTGTCATAGACTAGATTTGATCTTTGAACAATATCGAACAAGAACTCTCTGGCTGGTTACATTTTATTTAAGATTAAAGTAACCACAAATCTTTAAAATATAATTGTAATTACCTACTTAGGTACTTAAAAAAAAATTAAAATGTACTTACGTCCAATATTACGTACCTTGGTTTATGCTCAACGGCTTCATTTCAACAACAAGTAAGAAGAATTTTGCTTGTGTTTTTAAAAAGAAATTATTAGGAACTGCTGTTTGGAATTATTTACATTTTACTGTTGTACATAATATTATATATGGTATCTATTTGCAATTTATGTTTTAATTTGTAAATTTATCGATTACTATAAGTCTTGCTTCACAATATTTTTAATTTTCTAAACATTTAATTTGGTACTTGGTAGAGTTTATTTACATTTTGTGAGCATGCTATTATGATCATAAATTATTTTTTTACTTGACCTATTTTAATTTTTTTTCAGACTTGTAACCATGACAGCAATGGAAGCAAAATATAGCACTAAAATATCGGATCCAAATTTAAGTCTCCCATTGGAGACAGCTGATCCTGAATTGTATGCTTTGGTTAGTCAAGAGTCTCAGCGACAGAGGAAAGGACTTGAACTAATAGCATCAGAAAATTTTACCTCAGTTTCTGTTTTACAATGTTTAGGATCTTGTTTAACTAACAAATATTCTGAAGGTCTTCCGGGTGCAAGGTATTTAAAAAATAAGTACATTTTATAATAGACTATTATTTAATTTATAACTATTTATTTTATAGATACTATGGTGGTAATCAAGTAATTGATCAGATTGAAGTTTTATGCCAAAAAAGGTGTCTTGAAACATTTTCTTTGGATCCAAATCTTTGGGGTGTCAATGTCCAGCCATATTCTGGTTCACCCGCAAATGTTGAAGCTTACACTGCGCTTATTGGAGGAGGCAAAGGACGAATAATGGGTGGATATTTTATAACTATTTAAATTTTCGTAATATTAAACTATAAACTATACAAAATGAATATGTTACATAATAACATGCAATTTTTGAAATGAACTTTCGATATACAATTTAAAAATTAATAAAATATTAAGTTAAATAAAATAAAATGTTGTGCTAAATAGCTTGTGAATTAATATTAATTCAATTAAAGAATACTAAAGCAATTTTAAAGCTTCCAAATGCAATAATTTGTGGAATAATAAGCTTATAGCTTGAACAAAATAATTTTTCGTTAAAATATATCAAATGGTAAATAATTTTTTTTTATTTTAGTACTTACTCTATACATATATATATGATACATAAAATGTAAGAAATAAACAACATTGAATTAAAACTAAATTAAGAATTAAAAAAATTTTACGATTTCCAAGTCTTGGTGGCAAGTTATAAATTATTACTTATTATTATTAATTTAATTATTAAAAGTAATTGTGTGATGTACATCATATTAATGCAATGAGAATAAATTAATATTTAAATACATTTCGATAGGCTTGGATTTACCAGATGGTGGTCATATCAGTCATGGTCTGATGGCTCAAAAAAAAAGATTGTCTGCAGCATCGATATTTTTTGAAACTTTACCATATCACGTAAATATGGAAACTGGTTTAATTGATTATGACGAGTTGGAAAAATCTGCAAAGAACTTTAAGCCTGATATTATTATTGCTGGTTTGTATAAAATATATTTATTTAAAAATGTATGTAAAAACATTACTTACACCATATAATTATTATAGGCGTAACTTCCTACCCAAGGACATTAGACTATAAACGTTTTAGAACAATAGCTCAGGCTAGTGATTCTTATTTGATGGCTGATATGTCACATATTAGTGGTTTAGTTGCTGCTGGTGTTATTCCCTCACCTTTTGAATATTGTGATGTGGTCACTTCTACTACTCATAAAACATTAAGAGGTCCTCGAGCTGGAGTCATATTTTATCGTAAAGGTAAATGGTGAATAGACTTTATTAAGTTATCAAAATCTAATGTACAAATATTTTTAATACAGGAGTGAAATCAGTATCAAAAACTGGTGAAAATGTTATGTATGACTTGGAAGACCGTGTAAATGCTGCTGTTTTCCCAGGATTTCAAGGAGGACCTCACAATAATGCTATTGCAGGAATAGCAGCTGCTATGCGTTTGGCAACTACCCAGGAATTCAAAGACTACCAAAAAAGAGTTTTGAGCAATTGTAAACAATTAGCTGAATCTCTTAAACAGCTTGGATACAAAATATCCACTGATGGTACAGATGTGCATATGTTGTTAGTTGATCTTCGGCCAATTAATTTGACAGGTTCTAAAGCTGAGTTTACACTACAAACTGTAGAGATTGCGTGTAATAAAAACACCGGTAATTAATCTAGACATTTATATTTAATTCATTGTATATTAAAATATTACAATTAATTTTTCTTTATATATTAGTTCCTGGTGACAAAAGTGCAATGAATCCTTATGGTATTCGTTTGGGTACACCAGCTCTTACTACACGAGGCATGATGGAAAATGATATCATTAAAGTTGCTGAATTAATTCACAAAGGTACTAATTAAATTAAATAACATTTTTTTTTTATATTTTGTATAACTTAATTGTAATTTATTAGGTTTGAACTTGGCGTTGGATGCTCAAAAAGTATCTGGTCCAAAATTAGTGAACTTCAAATCCACTCTTACTTCAGATCCAGTGTTTGTTAATCGTGTAAAAGACATTACGAAAGAAGTAGAAGATTTTGCAGAACAGTTTTATATTCCTGAACAATAAATATTTTTATTGAACACTAGAGCGATAACATTGATAGTCTATTATTATTGAATTATTTGTGCCAAATTCCAAATTTATATTTTTGATACTGTTTCAATTAATTTTATACATTCCCCCCAAAAAATATCAATGCATTTAAGAAAATTAAGTTAATTTTTAAATTGTCATCTTTTTTTTCATGAAATAAAAGTATACATTTATAAAATGTTATTAATGTTATTCTTTTTATATATGCAAGTAATTTAAAATGTACTTTCTTTGTAAGGTGATTCGTGATATAAATATAATAAAAAAAAAAATGGGTAAGTGGATGTCGCTCTGCTGTAATTGGGTCAATGTATAAAGGATTGTACTTAACTTGAATTCAATGACATAATATCGGATAAGAAAAACGATTCTGAGCGGAGATGGTTTGTCAGTCTAGATATTGTTATTACTTATTATTTATTATAGGTATCCTGTAAGTTGAATTTATATCATAATAGGTATTATTTTTATTCGTTTCTATGGTGATAAACAAAGCGTTAGAAATTAAAACCCCATTTTTAGCGGCTTTTCGTTATTTGTCGGTGGTTTTTCCTGTGCAATTAAATAAATATTCAGAAAATCGAAAAATGACCTTTATAAAGTACCATCTTGATCCAATTTGCTAAAAGATAAAGTACTATATGTTGAAATCAAAGCACTCCTGGTAGATATTTTGTATACAGAATAAAAAAAAAAAAAAAAAATAAACACTATTTTAAAACCAATAGCTTCCTTGCTCCACTTGGAATCTAAAATATGATCATTTATTTGCATCAGCAGGTAACAAAATAAGTATAAAGATGAATAGATAAATTATACTGGGTGATTCTTTTATCAAACACTCATTATTTCAAAAAGTGTAAATTTTTTTGAAGATATTTTTTTACATAGTTTCAAGTCGCTTATAAAACAACGTTTTTATTAAAAAATTATATTTTTAAATATTTTTTATCCTTATAATTTTTTAAGTTTTTTACTTTTTGAATGACAACATAGGGTTTTAATTTTATATTCCAAAGCAGAATATTTTTCTTAGTATTTTGATACATGAAAATCGAATTTGGGTTGAGTAGTTTATGAGTTATAAGTATTTAAAGTTTAGACGAGCGGTTATAAGTGGACAAACATTTCGCGGGGTAACCCCGAACCACTCCACTCCGCTCGTCTAAACTTTAAATACTTATAACTCATAAACTACTCAACCCAAATTCGATTTTCATGTATCAAAATACTAAGAAAAATATTCTGCTTTGGAATATAAAATTAAAACCCTACGTTGTTATTCAAAAAAGTAAAAAACTTAAAAAAATATAAGGATAAAAAATATTTAAAAATATAATTTTTTAATAAAAACGTTGTTTTATAAGCGACTTGAAACTATGTAAAAAAATATTTTCAAGAAAATTTACACTTTTTGAAATACTGAGTGTTGTTTGATAAAAGAATCACCCAGTATAGTATTTTAGTATTTATCATAATATGAATTACATTCTAACTCATTCAAGGTATTAAAATCAACACTTTGGCTTGATTCATGATCATTGATCACATATCATGATTGGGTAGGTCTGATTACGATATTAATTCGTCATAAATCTAAATGGGTGAGGTTCTTAAAAATTATATTAGTTTAACTTTGATTAATGTTTAGCAGTCGTCAAAACAATGTCCTTTTTGAGAGGGCTGTGATTATCTTAATTTGTTTATGTTATTATTTTATTATTGGTTAGTGGTTACCTTCTTAAAAGTGCATTAATTTGTAACAGACCTAAGGATATGCACAAATATTTAAAAAAATAATGAATGTGTCCTTAATCTTAAAAAAAGATGGTACCTGCGACCTGCCATATGTATAAATTATAAATGTTAAATTATATGATTTTAGGTACATTTTTTGTTTATCTAATTTTGATTGTTTGTTTTTCTGTTGTACAACAGAAAATACAATTCTTTCAATCTATCTAAATAAAATTCATTTTTTCAATTTTTCTAATTGAAATTTTTTTTGTTCAGTATATTATTGAAAAGCTGATTATCTCATATAGTTAAAAAATCTATTTTGAATATGTTAAATAGGATAATTTTTATGTATTTTGAAAAAATACGACAACAAAGAAACAACAACTTATAATCATAATCATAATTCATAATTATGATTGACAATAAAATGTTCACTTTTGAATTTTGTCAAGTAGGTAACAAAATTATATTAGGTATAATTGCAGTTTAGCTACCATGGGATTTTTTCAAAATTTTTCTTCGAAACCTAGGTAAATCGAAGTTCTAAAAATGATGGTACCAAAAAAAAATTGCGCAAACACTTGGTTTTTGAGTTATAGCCGTTTGAAATTCAATAAACATCGATTTTTGAATTATTTTTGGTGGGGTATTTATGTATAGTGAAGTTTTAAAAATGATGGTGCCAAAAGAAATTTGCGTAAACAGTAGACACTTGGTTTTTGAGTTATATTGTTCTATATCTATGATATTGGTTATCTATGAACGTGATACATGATATTGATAACAGATTACCTGATAAAATATATTTGAAATTTGAGGTTATGAAACTTAATTTTTATGTAAGCTAAACAACAATGATAATTATAACGATAATGGAAAAATGCCTGAATGCGTTATTTTTCAATTTTGATGATCATCTTAAAAAAAATATTTGAACGTTGAAACTCTTGAAGGATAACATAAATCTGTAGTTTGGTAAATTAATGAGAAATATTTAAACTGCCAATTATAATAATTGTGATTATTGTTATATATATTTTTCTTTTAGGTCTTTTTCAAGAATGACAGGCTTTACAGGTTTCAGTGCACCTACATCTTCCAGCTTTGGAATGAATACTCAAACAACGGCTAGTCCATTTGGTAATGACTTTAATTCAAATGTATCAAATTTAGATTTTTTTTTATGCACTTATAAAAGTACTGTGAAAAATGTATTACTTATTTTTGTTTAACATTTATGTGGTACATGTTTATTTTATTACTTTTTCAGTGTATGATTTAATTTTAATGTATTATATACTGGTAAAAATTAATTTTTACAATCCATAATTGTATTATAATACCTAGTTATATCGTATATATGTGCAAAATGACCAGTTAATTCAATGCAGTAATAAGAATTTTAAATTATTAAAATTTTACAAGTTACATTTGATACAGTTAATTATTTTATTTCGCTTATGCCGGGTTTAGATACCTAATGGTCCCTTAAATATGTGGTTCATGATCGGTTGATCGGTCTGTTACATTTTATTGAACCATCAAATTATTCTTTATGCAACCTGGCATTAGAATTATCAACCCAATCAAAATAAATAATTTCTTAATGATATGTGCCTACAATTTGAATGTATTTATGTATAGTTATTACTTTAAAAAAATATTGTTTAAGAGTATAAATATTAAGTGGTACATTGTAAGTATATTGATTGTGACAATCTTTAAAAGTTAAAAATGTTCCTAATTTTATAAATTGAATCATTTACATAATTTAATACTTATACATAATATACTAAGATCATCATTATTTTTTTTTAAGGCTATGGTTCTACAACATCATCTGTAGCTCCATCATTTGGATTTGGTTCTACTACAACGTCAGGGAGTCAAGCTTCTTCTTTTGGTTTTGGAGCCACTACAACTAGTGCAGCACCAACATTTGGATTTGGAGCCGCTGCTACTACTACAGCCCCAACTTTTGGATTTGGTGCTGCTGCTGCCGCTTCATCATCACAATCAATATTTTCCGGTTTAGGGCAATCACAACCTACTGCATCAGTTGGTAAATCATACTTGAATCATCAAAAATAAAATAGTATTTTTAATTTTGAGTCCAATGCTTGTAGCTCCTTCATTTGGAGGGTTTGGTTCATCATTTGGAGCCAAGCCATTTGGTACAACAGCAGCAACTGCATCTCCATTCAATTTAACTACTCCTTTTGGTCAAGGTGAATATTATTCAGAATTATTTAATCTATTTTTAAAAATGTTAAAATATGTTCCTTTAGTAAAAAAATGAATAAAGCCATTTGCTTTTTTTATTTTGTACCTACTCAATTATTTAAGTTATAATTATAAAGTACAATCTTAAATATAAAATAACTTAAGCTACAGAACAGATTAAATTAAATTTATTCTGTGCTTAAGCTAAAAACAACTAACCAGTCTGCTTATCAAGCTGCAGTCAAGCTTGTCTGTATTAACAAAAATACAAAATACAAATCAATTCATACACATTAGATTATATTGTGTACCCTATAGAATAATAACATGCCATTTTATCTCAATAGCATGGTCCCAAATGGGAGGAGAGTGGTGGCTAAAATGTATTATTAAGCTGATAGAGCAGTCAAAACCATAACATTGGATTGGTTATATTCTAGTTTCAGAGTATTTTTCAAATCTAATATATCTAAATTATTCAATTTTTTTAATTTTAGGTAATACTACTCAACAACCACAACAACAGCAACAACAACCCCCTCCCAATGCTAATGATTTAGTAATTAATTCAATTGTAAATTGTAAATTATTTGGAGATGAAAGAGATCAGATTGTTTGTAAACTTAACTTGTTGCAAGCTTGTTGGGGTACGGGAAAAGGTATAAACCATTCTGTATTATTTCATATTTACTAATACTAATGAATAATGATTGTATTATTTTGTTTTTTTATATGAATATTGATTATTATTTATTTATATTAACATTTTTAAGGATTTTATGGATTGAATATGCCACCTGTTGAGTATACTCCTCAAAATCCGCTCTGCCGTTTTAAAGCTATTACATACAGTGTGAAACCAACATCATCAAGCAGAGATGCACTTGTGGCAATTAATATTAATAAAAAAATGGATGAAATAAGGTTATTATAGTTTTTAATAATTAAATCTATTTTTATTATTAATTTAAACAAAAGTAATAAATAAGTATGATAATAAATAGGTTTTTAATTACCGTGATGCAATTCATAAAATATTTATTGCACCCTTTTGACTTATAATTGGATCTTTACCAAAATACCACAAAAGGAATAAAAACAAATGGGTTGAGTTAAATATATAAATACATTATTGATAAACTATAATAGTTCATTAGACCTTATTTACTTAAGTTTAAATCTTAATAACACCGCTGTAATGTTAAAATAACACCACTGCAAACGACTCTTATTAAGTAATATGTACAATGATTTTGGTTTAATATAATTTTTCTCATTTAAAATTTTTATTTTCGTTATCATTAATTTTGCAGCTTATCTTTTACAAGCATAGATCAAATTATTTCAAAATAAAAAATATTGTGAACTACCCATTATTTTATTATCTATTAATTTTGATTTACTTGTTATTATTTACATTTTAATTTTTAGAAAACAAGAAGTACAGTTCACATCTAATTTATTTGCGGTATTGGGAAGTAAACCAAATTTAAGTGTACATTTAGATACATTAAAATTGTACACAGAAACCAAATCAATGGCTTTAATATATGTCGAAGAAAAACTTCAAAATGGTGTGTTCTGTAAATTTTGATTTTAAGAGAAATCCAAATAATAATCAAAATAATCGTGGTGTGATTCTAGGAAGTACAAAACGAATTTCTAATATTGATATAATTAACTATCTAATGCACCAGCTCCCAGCAACAATTATCAAGTATGGGCGTCGAAAATATATTTCCATATACTGGTTTTACTGAAGAAAATCTACGTGAATATTATGAAAATCCACCTGCTGGTATAAACATTTTTAACTATTAATAAACTATATTTTAGTGTAATATATACTTCACTTTATTTGTAATCATAAGGCATTTTGTATGTGATAACTAAAGCATAAATATGTTATAAAGTATAAAGTAAAGCTGACCGAGTATATTTAACTATTCAACTAATATTAGCAGTGTTTGAATTAGGAGGGGACAGAGCTTCTCAAATATTTACATTTATATTTTGAGAGCACCCCTAATAATACTCGTTATAAGTTATAACGGAAAGATATTTCAGAACCTTTTAGTTTTATATAATACTTTTTAACATATATTTATTTTTATTTTGCAAAAATCGTATTGAATATGTTATTCAAATTCAGTTTAATAACAACTTTATGATTATAATGATATGCTTTATAACAGGTATGGAGTATAATTTAATAATGACTTAAAAAAAATAAATTAAAATATGTTTAATTAATTTAAATTATTGTTCTGAAATATTTATAGAAAATATAAATTGTTCATAAGTAGTTGTTTCTTGTATACTTGCATATTGTAATTACTAATTATATGTATGAGGATTGATAGTTGCAAGATAAGAGGTAAGAAGTTATGTTCAATCCATCATTTGAAGGAAGACTTAATTTTTCAATTTTAAGTCCCCATTGAAATCCCATTTTTCCGATTCAAGCTACCATGTTTTTATTTTTAACTTTAACTTTTAACAAATGAAACCCAGCACAAAGACCTAAGAATTCCAACAGTTGACCAACTAACTAAATTGTATTATAACAGATTTCATTCTAAACTGTAACACCATCCCAATCCTTTAGTCACTCACCTAGCATCACATACTCTTCCCGACAACCCACCGCCCCGACTCAAAAGAAATTGGTGCCGTGATCTATTAAATTAATTAATAAAAAAAAAAAATTACTAAAGGGTACCATCGCTGGATGTTTTCCCTCATCTTGTGTTTCATGTTGTTTTTTTTTTATATGTATGTATATATTGTTATATCTGTTATCGATTCTGCCTATTGTGTAATATTATACAGATTGTAGATTTTCTAAATTAATAAAAAAAAAAAACTTTAACTCTAACTTAAACATTAACTTTCAAAGCTCAGTACAAAATTTAGTGCTGGACATTGGCTTGCCTAATCCGGATCACGGATTGAAATACAGAATCCGGATTGGCGGATTCAATCCGTTTTAACCGGATTCGCGGATTCAATCCGTTTTAACCGGATTCGCGGATTCAATCCGTTTTTCGGATTAACGAATTCAATCCGTTCTCCGGATTTACGGATTGAATCGGTAAGTCCGAGTAACAAGTTTAATTTATAAAGCTGAATTAATAATTTAAAAATAACGGAATTCCCGTCATCTGGTTATACTAATAGATTTACTCAATAATTATCTTCTCTTTTATAAGAAAAAGGAATTTTTATTTTTAAACCAGAATCCGGATTGAATTATCTAATTCGGATTCATATCAAAATCCGGATTGGTTATATAATCCGGATTGATAATTTTTAATCCGGATAAACAGATTAATGACGGTTGTTTCAAACCGAATTGATCCGGATTGGTAATCCGGATACGGATTTATCCGGATTTGATGTCCAGCACTAGTACAAATGTAGTGTTCCAAATTTAGCAATCTATTATTCTATTATTTTTTTCTTGAAATTCGGTATCATTAATCACTATGAAGTTTTTATATTATATTAGTATTTTAATTATTAATTTAATATTGGTATTGTTTTAATTTTATTAAAACCTATTTAATTATATTTTACAGGAATTGATTTACGAGTGTGGAAACAATCTCAAGCAGATAATCCAAATCCAGCAGTATTCATACCAGTGCCGATTGTTGGTTTTTCAGAGTTATGTTGGAAGTATAAATGTCATAATGAACAAGTTACAGTACATAAGTTAACACTTAACAGCATTGCAGACAGACTATCAGAATTAGCTAGGAAAAAAACAAGAGTAGAATCTAAACTTGAACAATATACAGACAAAATGGATCAATTAACACACAGGATTGTTAAAGTATTAGTAGGTCAAATGGTCATATTAAATGCAGGAATGGCTCTTAGACCTGAAGAAGAAACAATAAAGAATCAATTAGAAATTTTATACAATGATATTAATTCACCATTAAGATTCCAAGTATGTAAAAATATCTATACATGTATATCATATCAATGATTACCAATCATATTTACCAATTTACATTATGTCTTTTAAGGGAAAGTTAACCGAGATTGCTACTCTTGTTCGATTAAAAAATTCAGAACTATCAGAAGACTCGAAAAGTAATTCGGGTTGTATTCCGCAAGTAGCTGAAGAAATTAAACAAGTAAGTTAAAGTATAATACCTTTTTTACATAAAGATATTATATATACAATATATACAATATAAATAACTGTAATTTAATTGTATAGTTCTTAGAACTTCAACAAACAATGATATCCGAAATGCAGACAGTAGTCAAAGAAGATTTCAACGCTATAAACTTAATGAAAGAGTCATTAAAAAATGTAAGATAGTTGATTGAATAATAATATATTGGCAAATAAAATATGTATTATTATATTAGTGTTCATTTAATTATATTTTATAATAATAACATTTCATGCAGTACCTATATTGGTTATTATTTATAAAAATTAATGTTTTTGTACATTATCTGAATTTGTTAAAAAAATTAATTATTGTAATCTTAATTTTACTGTTAATTTTTATTGCAGTTCAATACTGTTCTACTTTATACTATATTTAGTTTTAATATTTAAATAAAATATGATTTGCTTTGTAGATTTTATTTTTTTAAATAATTTTAATGGTTATTAATATTTATATATTTTACAGCAAATGCATAACAAATTTCTTTTTAGTTCTTAGACTATGAGACCAAAATTATTATTTTAATGTTAATATTTTTTCTCAAATGTTAATTGTTTGAGTTATGTATCTATTGTATACTATAAAAAGCATTTTTGTTTATATTTAGTTATGGTCAGGTCAAACTTAAATTATCTTAAGACTGGATTTAAATGTAATCCAAATTTTCTAACCTTTAAAACTTTAAACTTTAATTATAAACATTAACTTAAGTCTTAAGAGTGTTTTAATACTTAAAAAAACATGAAAATTAATTTTTTGTTATAAGTACTCAAAAAATAATTTTCTATTCTGTATTAACCTACCTATTGATTTAATGATTTATAAATTATAATATTATATAATATACATTATTAATTGAATTATAATCCATAACTGAACTAAAAAAAAATATATATACATTTTTTCAATTAAAACATTTATTTTAAATCAGATTTGAATGGCTTACATGTTAAAGAAGGCTTTTTTTAATCAATTTTAGAGGTCGAGAAACCGAATTCCCTTGCTTCCTACATCTTTAAGGGGGCTGGAGCATGATTTATTTTCGGTCGAAAACCTAGATCAGGACTTCAACCATTATGCCCAATATAATCTGATATTAATTTTGAAAGCAGATTTACTAAACTTTTAACTAAATTATCTATGCTTTGACAATTTCATTTTTCTGATTTTTATTTTTTTACTTAGAAATTAACTAACAAAAAGAGTAAAAATAGATCATATTCATAATTCAAATTTTAAATACATTGATGTAGAATATGAAAATGGTGGACAAGTGAGTACCGCTCTGCTGTACAGTAGTTGTAATGGATGTGTTATATTTGAATACAATGGTAAACCATTGTATACGAAAAACGATTCTGAGTGGTTAGCGAAGTCCTTATAATATTATTATTTTTTATTCGTTGCTATGGTGTTAAGCAAATCGTTAGAAATTAAAATCCCATTTTTAGTGGTCTTTCGTTATTTGTCGGTAGTTTTTCACGACGCTTTCTAAAACTACTTGGAATTTTCAATTTTGACCTCCCAAAAGTTCCAACTATATAGGTTCACTTTTCTATCAGAAAAGATGCTGATCTCAGAAATCGAAGCATGCTTACTATCCGAAATGTTGCTGGCAGACAGAAAAAAAAACACACATTATTGTAAAACCAATACATTCTTCTTTCGCTCCGCTCAGAATCTAAAACGTACGGTAGATAAAGCATAGTAAATTTAGAGAAGTAATCATCAAATCTGCTTTCAAAATTTAAACCGGAACTTCCTACTGAGCGTAGTGATTGAAGTCAGTGGCAGTATTTTTTGAAAAAAAATGTTTGTAATTTTATAAAGTAATATTTGGTGACACGTGCATGCGCGTAGGTAAAATGACAGACGTACAATTTACATATTATCCGGATGCCCCTATACAACGCGGTCGGTACTACTAATTACACACACTAATTATTCATTTATTTTCAACACATTCAAAAGACACATCCATATAACTTGAAATATAAAATGCCTAGTTTTTACTCCTTAGAAGTTAGAATGGATTACGCTCCAGCCCCTCTTAAAATATTTTATATTTTTTGGTTACAATATTAATAATAATAATAATAATAATATTTATTGACCAAAGAAAATTACAATTAAGTGAATAAATGATTATATGTATAATATAGTTTTAGTTATTTACGAGTTATGACTTACGAGACACCTTAAGGGGATGGGAAGCGGCGATTTTCTGTCTTTGTCTAACACACGTGCAACATAGGATTATAGACGTGTTCTATTTCCAACGTACCGATTAATCTAGTGAAGCGATAAGAATTCTGAAAACAGATTTTAATTTGTCGTCAAGTCTACTTGAGATCGACTTTCCCACATTTTTGATATTATCCCCCAAAAATCTTAAAAATAATATATTAAAAAGAGTAATTAAAAAATTGCCATATTTAAATTTTTGGAGAAGTTTTAAATTTTTAATCAAAATATCAAAAATGTGGGTAAGTCGATCTCAAGTAGACTTGACGACAAATTAAAATCTGTTTTCAGAATTCTTATCGCTTCACTAGATTAATCGGTACGTTGGAAATAGAACACCTCTATAATCCTATGTTGCACGTGTGTTAGAGTCGTTAGACAAAGACAGAAAATCGCCGCTTCCAATCCCCTTAATTTAAAAACTTCCAAAAGAGACATAATATTTTTATTTTATTTTATATATAATATCTACTATTGCCATATTGTAAATTATAATACAAATGTATTATTATTAAAAATATTCTGACATTTTGTTTATTTATATATTGCACGTAGTTTAAAACAAATGTATTATGATCTAAATCATACATGGATACTGACATTGAAATCTTGTGAATGATATGTGTAGGCACACATAGATCATTTCTATTATATTGTTAGTTTTTCACGGGCCCTGAATTTTGAGTTTATAGTTATAAATTATTATAATACTATTTAATCTCAATACATTAATGTGAACAAATGTTGAGGAACTTGATTTAAAAATCGGGGGTGCTAACTGCCAAGTACAGCCAACCCCCTCCCAATTAACCCCTACGGGCTACGGCCCTATCAATAGTCATTCTAAATCACAAAGTTTGTACTTAGCACACAAATACACAATTGTGCAGACGGACGTATAATTCCGACTATTATTGCAGTGGCGTGGCGTGGGTATTAAAAGGATGTAAGCAGTGAAAATTTTGTTTCAAAAGTGATTAGAATATAGGTACTATACTTAAATACCTAATTATAAATTATGTATAAAAAATGTTATCCTTTTAACATTTTTAATATTTTTAAAAATATACTAGTTGTACAAATCAAATTCGAGAAAATAAATAAATTGAAGTATAAATACTTCAAAAGTCTATTAGGCGAATGACAGTGACAGTGTAGTGTGTACGTAAAAACGACTACAGTCTACAACGCGTCGGGCTACGTACTGCCGCGCGTGCCGTACTGGTCCGTGGTCGCTCCTTGTTTCTCGCGTAAGCAAAATCAAATGTGCTTACAAACGCTAGTTAAATACGTGACCCCCACTATGGCATTATAGACTATTCGAAAACAACAGTTGCGCGTAAGCAATTTCAGAATGTGTTACACTGTATATCGTATTATGATTATGCAGTTAACATAATACAGAATGGATTAAAAATAGACCTACAATCGATGATTTTCTTAAAATAGTTGGTAATCAGTAGACAGCGTACGACACATATAAACAATAACAAAAACCACTACCAGCTATAACTTAAATATTTTATAAATAAAATTAAAATTTTAAAAATCATTTATTATGTACCTATTAGTCGTGATTGATTAAATTAATTTTTTCTTTCATTTAAAGTGTAAGCAGTGCTTACAGTGCTTACATGCACGCTACGCCCCTGTATTATTGTAATATATTGTGTCTGTGACTCAAGACCGAATGATGTCATATATTGGGTAATGTCCCCCCCCCGTAATATGCTTAAGGTATTATTTATGGCCTTATAGGATAGCTATATCTATTCCACGTCTGTTTACCTATCTCGCAGCATTTCATTAAATCACATAATACTATGCTAAATTGCTAAACCAATTTTAATTACACATTCGATAAAAAAATATAAACTCCTAACGAATGTTTATGTAGTTATGGTACGTACCTGTAATTACATAACTTTATAGGTATTTGGCACTTGAAAAATATTCGATTATTTATATACGTATATAATATAAGACAATGCAATTTTCTTATCTATTTTTTAATATTCGATCTGCCTGTAAAAAATAAAACGAACTTGTATTATGTAATACTGTTTTTGTTTGGTTATTTATTTTATTTAAAATAAATTATTGTTTTTCTCATTCGTGACACTCCCCATTCGAATATTTGAAACACAGTGAACTCGATTAAAATATATATATATATAATATAGGTTCATCAACATAATAATTATATGCATAATAGGCATATTCATTTTTACTAAAATAATCACTTGAAATTTGAATCACAGCTTACGTTTAGAAATTTAAAAAAAATCTATATATACCTATTATATATAGGACTTACAGGTACATAATATATAACTGGTATGTCGTTCATGTGGATCGATTCCACGCGATAGAAACCAGCTGGGCCTGATTGAGAGAAAGTTTGGCACCTAATATTATGTTTTATAGTCTCCTTAATACCCCTTGTATAGTTTTGACGAATAATAGTCCCTCACTAACTACATAATTCATTATTTTAAAATTTTATTTAGAGAATTTTGTTTCAATCCCAAACCTAGGTAACAGTTGAATGGCAAACAGTTACAAGCAAAGTGTAAAGATCAAAGAAGATAAATATTTTAATAATTTTAATATTGTGACGATTTCAATTCGTATAGAAAATAACAATACACGTAATGGTGATTAGTTTCAAGTCCCTCTGGACTTGATATTAATATTTTTTGAACTACAAAAATACCTACAGGTAATTTTTGTTATTTGTTAAACGATATCCAATTTTGTTAACATTTGAAAATCAAATAACAAATAAAGAAAAATTGTGCATATATATTTATTCATAATATTTCCTTTGAAAAAAACTTTTGAGGAACTTTCAAATTCGTACCTCAACTACAGTTACAATAATTTAGACCAATCATAA